ATGTTTGGGAGAAGCTGATGTGGCCCTGAGGAAGGAGCAAACACCAAAACCAACCCAGGCAGGGCTGCAGGCCCAGACCCCCCTGGGTATTCCTTGCCTTGCAAATTTTATGAGCTTGGACCATCAATATTGATGTCATATATATGACAATATCCTGGTTTTAGGATATTGTCATATATATGGGGCAAGATGGAGGTTTTAGGGCTGCTCCTTCTTCCTCACCCTCTTCTTCTTCATGGATTTGGATGGTTTTTTGTAATTTGACAGAAAAGTCTGTGCTGTGGACTTCGAGGGATCAGTTATTGGGTTAAAAGTGAAAATAATTTAGGTGTCATTTCTTAATTGGATAATTTAGCCTTCAAAGACCTTGTAGGGGAAGATTGTTGGCCATTTTGTACTTGTTAGTGGAGTGCTGCAGAGCTCACAACTTGTGACAGAGATGGGAAATAATGAACACCTGAGTCTGAAAGTGAAATTCCATCTGAGAGCTTCAATCCTGACCTTGACAGAGGAATAAAGAAGAAGCTGAGAATGGGCAAAGAGGATTGTTGGTGATTGGAGCATTTTTACCTGCCCGAGCTCAGCCTCTGTCCCCAGGGGCTGTACTGTGAACTTTGCCAGAGCTGGCACTTCAGAATGGCTCTGGCACCTCCACTTGGAGTGAAAATCCCTTTTTTTGGCTTTCCTTGGTGCCATCAGTTCCATCTGCCCTTAAAACCTCCCCTGGAGCAGAACTGTGTCCTGCAGGGGCGAGCCTTGGGGAGTTTGGTGTCCCAAATTCTTATCTAAATATTCCCTGCTGTGTTTCAGGACCAGTTCTTGTCCTCTCTCCCCTTGGCAGCAGCAATGAATCCCTTCCTCTTGCAGCTGCATTTCTGGTATTGGCAGACCATGACCTCTGCTTCCCACATTGCTCCCAGGTGGAAATCACCCTGTTCCTTTCATGTTTTCACATCATTCCTGTTGATTTTTACAAAACCATCACAAATGCTCCGTTCCTGGTTGGAAAGCAGGGCTTTCCCCAGCAGGAAAATCCCCAGGAGTGCTGGGCTGAAGGAGAACAAATCCCCTTTGTCTCTGCCTCCCTATGACCTGTTTCTCTTGGAATAATCCCATTGTTAGCTCCACTCAGGCCTCTCCTCAGGGGGAGTGTCAGAATTTCACCAAAATCCCTCATTCTGTCCCACTTTGTGCCCCTCACACCTGCAGGGTTTTGTATTCCAGCTGAGCATGGAGCTGCTGTGCTGGCATTTGGTGGGATTTGCTTTGGGGCAGCCCACCTTGGCTGTTACCTTCACGTGTTCCCCTGCCAGGATTTTCAGGTGGATTTTGCTGATCCATTCAGTCCTTTCAGAGGGTGATGTTAAATTGAGCAGGGAACCCCTCAAGTTCCCCTTTCCCCATTTTCAAGACATTCCTCATGTTTATCCTGTTTATCAAGTGTCCTGTTTGGACACTCAGCCTCTTCTCTGTGAGATCTCAGAGCCCTCTCTGGCAGCCCAGATTCACCAAATTCCCTCTGCATGGGTTAAATCTGAGATTTGGGGACATCCAGTGCCTTTGAGGGACCTTTCATCTTCCCTTTTCTTACTTCAGTCCCTTTTCAGTGGCATTTATTGTGACTCACCTGATCCAAGTGACCTTTTCCATGAGAAACAGAACAAATCTCTGCGTGCCTGGAATCACAGACTCCTTTGGGCTGGAAAATCCCTGGGAGACCCCAGAGCCCAACCACGCCCCCAGCACTGCCAAGACCACCAGTGCCCCTTGTCCCAAGTGCCACATCCACGGGGCTTTTAACTCGCTCTGCTGTGGGGAACCTCAGAGCTGGGAATTAAACTGCCAGGGGGCAGGGCTGGATCTTGGGAATGAGGAATTGTGCCCTGGCACAGCTGGGGCTGCCCCTGGGTCCCTGGCAGTGCCCAAGGCCAGGCTGGACACTGGCACACCCTGGGACAGTGGCAGTGTCCCTGCCATGGCACTGGGTGAGCTGTGGTGCTGTTTTCCACCCAGAGCATTCCATGACTCCATGGTCACCACTGTGGTGCCCCGTGGGGCTGAAGCTGGAGCAGCTTGGATGCCCCTGGGTGTCCCTGCTCCTCCCTTCTCTCCCTGTGGGCTCTGGGTGTCCCTGTTTCATCTTATTTCTGCTTTTATCCCCAGGCTCTTCTCTCCTCCCTGTGCAAGAACTGCCCTCCCCCACTGGGGCCTTGGGGATCTCCTGGCTGGCTCCCCTTTTCCATCTCTCCCTTTTCCATCTCTCCCTCTTCCATTTCCCCTTTTCTGTATCTCCCTTTTCCATTTCCCCTTTTCCATTTCCCCTTTCCCAGCCCCCTTTTCTATCACTGCATTTCCAGCTACCCCAGCTCCCCTTTTCCATCTGTCCTTTTCCAGCTCCCCTTTCCCAGCCCTTTTCCATTTCTCCCTTTCCCAGTTCCCCTTTTCCATCTCCCCTTTCCCAACTCTCCTTTTCCAGCCTCCTTTTCCTTCATCCCTTTTCCATCTCCTCTTTTCCATCTCTCCATCTCCACTTTTCCAGCTCTCCTTTTCCATTTCCCTTTTTCCATCTCTCCCTTTTCCATCTCCCCTTTCCCAGCTCCCCCTTTTCCCTCTCCCCCTTTTCAGCTCCCTTTTTCCATTTCTCCCTTTTTCAGCTCCCTTTTCCATCTCCCCTTTTCCAACTCCCCTTTTCCATTTCTTCCTTTTCATCTCCCCTTTCCCAGCTCTCCTTTTCCAGCCCCCCTTCTCCATCTCCACTTTTCCAACTTCCCCTTTTCTGTCTCCCTTTTTTCAGCTCCCCTTTTTCATATCTCCCTTTTCCAACAACCCTTTTCCAGCTCCCGTTTGCCATCAACCCTTTTCCATTTCCACTTTTCCAGCCCCCCTTTTCCATCACCCCTTTTCCCAGCTCCCCTTTCCATCTTTCCCTTTTCCATCTCCTCTTTTCCAGCTCCCCCTTTTCAGCCCCCCTTTTCCATCTCCCCTTTCCCACCTCCTTTTCCATCTCTCCCTTTTCTATCTCTCCCTTTCTCCCCTTTCCCAGCTCCCCCTTTTCCATCTCTCCCTTTTCCATTTCTCCCTCTTCCATTTCCCCTTTTCTGTATCTCCCTTTTCCATTTCCCCTTTTCCAGCTCCCCTTTCCCAGCCCCCCTTTTCCATTTCTCCCTTTCCCAGTTCCCCTTTTCCATCTCCCCTTTCCCAACTCTCCTTTTCCAGCCTCCTTTTCCTTCATCCCTTTTCCATCTCCTCTTTTCCATCTCTCCATCTCCACTTTTCCAGCTCTCCTTTTCCATTTCCCTTTTTCCATCTCTCCCTTTTCCATTTCTCCCTCTTCCATTTCCCCTTTTCTGTATCTCCCTTTTCCATTTCCCCTTTTCCAGCTCCCCTTTCCCAGCCCTTTTCCCTTTCTCCCTTTCCCAGTTCCCCTTTTCCATCTCCCCTTTCCCAGCTCCCCCTTTTCCCTCTCCCCCTTTTCAGCTCCCTTTTTCCATTTCTCCCTTTTTCAGCTCCCTTTTCCATCTCCCCTTTTCCAACTCCCCTTTTCCATTTCTTCCTTTTCATCTCCCCTTTCCCAGCTCTCCTTTTCCATTTCCCTTTTTCCATCTCTCCCTTTTCCATCTCCCCTTTTCCAACTCCCCTTTTCCATTTCTTCCTTTTCATCTCCCCTTTCCCAGCTCTCCTTTTCCAGCCCCCCTTCTCCATCTCCACTTTTCCAACTTCCCCTTTTCTGTCTCCCTTTTTTCAGCTCCCCTTTTTCATATCTCCCTTTTCCAACAACCCTTTTCCAGCTCCCGTTTGCCATCAACCCTTTTCCATTTCCACTTTTCCAGCCCCCCTTTTCCATCACCCCTTTTCCCAGCTCCCCTTTCCATCTTTCCCTTTTCCATCTCCTTTTTTCCAGCTCCCCCTTTTCAGCCCCCCTTTTCCATCCCCCCTTTTCCCAGCTCCCCTTTTCAGCTCCCTTTTCCCAGCTCCCCTTTCCATCTTTCCCTTTTCCATCTCCTTTTTTCCAGCTCCCCCTTTTCAGCCCCCCTTTTCCATCTCCCCTTTCCCACCTCCTTTTCCATCTCTCCCTTTTCTATCTCTCCCTTTCTCCCCTTTCCCAGCTCCCCCTTTTCCATCTCTCCCTTTTCCATTTCCCTTTTTCCATCTCTCCCTTTCCCAGCTCCCCTTTTCCATTTCTCCCTTTTCCAGCACTGCATTTTCAGCTACCCCTTTCCCAGTTCCCCTTTTCCATCTCCCCTTTCCCAACTCTCCTTTTCCAGCCTCCTTTTCCTTCATCCCTTTTCCATCTCTGCCTTTTCCATCACTCCTTTTCCAGCTCCCCCTTTTCCATCTCTCCATCTCCACTTTTCCAGCTCTCCTTTTCCATTTCCCTTTTTCCATCTCTCCCTTTCCCAGCTCCCCTTTTCCATTTCTCCCTTTTCCAGCACTGCATTTTCAGCTACCCCTTTCCCAGTTCCCCTTTTCCATCTCCCCTTTCCCATCTCCCCCTTTTCAGCCCCCCTTTTCCATCTCCTCTTTCCCACCTCCTTTTCCATCTCTCCCCTTCCCAGTTCCCCTTTCAATCTCTCCCCTTTCCATCCCTCCCTTTCCCATCTCCCCTTTCCATCCCTCCCTTTCCCATCTCCCCTTTCCCATCCCTCCCTTTTCCATCTCCCCTTTCCCATCTCCCCCTTTTCAGCCCCCCTTTTCCATCTCCTCTTTCCCACCTCCTTTTCCATCTCTCCCCTTCCCAGTTCCCCTTTCAATCTCTCCCCTTCCATCTCTCCCCTTCCCCTCTCCCCTCTCCCACCCAGCCCAGCAGTGTCCCTGCGATGCCCCAGGCTGTGCCGGGCCCTTCCCGCTGTCCCCGAGCCGGAGCTGCCGCCTTGTTCCATGGCTCCATCTCTCCCGGAGCACAGAGCTGCGCGGAAATCCCGGGGGAAGGAACCCTCCCTCCTCCCTCCTCCCTCCCTGCTCCCATCCCGGCCGGGCCAAGCAGGCTGCGGGGCCCGGGCAGTGATGCTCATTCCTTTATTTGTCCTCGCCATCCTGGAGGGCGCTGCCAGCGCGGGCTCGAAGCTACATTTCAGCACGGGGAGTGAGGAGTGTCCATCCCGCCGGAACGGCCCCTCTCCACACGCTATGTATAATATATATATATTTATAATATGTCCTGTATAGTCCTATGTATAGAGTGACAAGGATGGCCCACCAGACAGTAAACTTCTGATTTCTAAATAAATCACCAGAGCAACAGGCACGAAAATTTGGTCCTAATCGAGGCCCTCGCCTTGTCCATGAACCCAGAACAGACCCGCACCCCCCTCCCCGCGGAAAAACGGCCAAACCTGAACCCCAAAAGAACACTTCAACAACAACAAAAGGAAGCCCCGGCCCCGAGGAACGGCCCCGCTGGGACACACGGACAGCGACACACGGACAGCCCGAGCGCCCCCCGCCCTGCCGGTGTGCGCCGGGACAGCTCCGGGAGCAGCCCCTGGATGCTGGAAGTGCCTCCTCCCATCCCCTGCGCTGCTGGAAGGGCTTCCAGAGGATCCCAGTGTGACCAGAGATCCCACCATGGCCAGAGCTCTGCTGGAAGAGCTTCCAGAGGATCCCAGTGTGTCCAGAGCTCTGCTGGAAAAGGTTCCAGAGGATCCCACTGTGACCAGAGCTCTGCTGGAAGAGCTTCCAGAGGATCCCACCATGGCCAGAGCTCTGCTGGAAAAGCTTCCAGATGATCCCACCATGGCCAGAGCTCTGCTGCAAAAGCTTCCAGATGATCCCACTGTGACCAGAGCTCTGCTGGAAAAGCCTCGAGAGGATCCCTCTGTGACCAGAGCTCTCTGGAGGGGCTTCCAGATGATCCCACCATGACCACAGCCACCCTTCCCAGGATGCTCCATGGCCCAGGGATGAGGACACCTCAGCTCCTGAGGTGTTTCCCACACCCTGGGTGAGAACAGAGGCCACAGAAGGTCTCTGGTTCATCACTTTGGGGCTGCACCAGCTGCTGATCCGGAAGGGCTTCCAGAGGATCCCAGTGTGACCAGAGATCCCACCATGACACAGCTCTGCTGGAAGAGCTTCCAGAGGATCCCAGTGTGTCCAGAGCTCTGCTGGAAAAGGTTCCAGAGGATCCCACTGTGACCAGAGCTCTGCTGGAAGAGCTTCCAGAGGATCCCACCATGACACAGCTCTGCTGGAAGAGCTTCCAGAGGATCCCACCATGGCCAGAGCTCTGCTGGAAAAACTTCCAGAGGATCCCTCTGTGACCAGAGTCTGCTGGAAAAGCTTCCAGAGGATCCCACTGTGACCAGAACTCTCTGGAAAAGCTTCCAGAGGATCCCAGTGTGGCCAGAGCTCTGCTGGAAGGGCTTCCAGAGGATCCCACCATGGCCAGAGTCTGCTGGAAAAGCCTCCAGAGGATCCCACCATGACCACAGCCACCCTTCCTGGTCACAGCCACCCTTCCTGGTCACAGCCACCCTTCCCAGGATGCTCCATGGCCCAGGGATGAGGACACCTCAGCTCCTGAGATGTTTCCCACACCCTGGGTGAGAACAGAGGCCACAGAAGGTCTCTGGTTCATCACTTTGGGGCTGCACCAGCTGCTGATCCACTGAAGGGGAACTGGGACTGCTAGAAGACGAGGAGGGGAGGAAATTCTGTTCCTGCAGCCCCCCAAGCTTGCCCTCATTCTGAGTCTGTGCTTCCTGACCCCGACTCCCAAATTAAATAACAAACCAGCTCTCCCAACCACTGTGCCCCACAGAATCAGGGAATCACAGGCTGGTTTGGGCTGGAAGGGACTTTAAAGCTCATCCAGTGCCACCCCTATCCTGGGCAGGGACACTGCCACTGTCCCAGGTGCTCCCAGCCCTGCCCAGCCTGGCCTTGGGCACTGCCAGGATGGTTTCACGGGGCCAGCTCGGCCTGGGGGATGCCCTGGGACACCCCTGGCTGTCGTGGGGGTCTCTGTGGCCAGCCCTGACCCCACAGCATGGAAGGGACCCCGCTGTCACTCCTCCAACCCCTTCCCCTGCTCCCTCCTGCCAGGCTGGGCACAGCCTGGACCCTGCCACAGGGAGGAGCTCAGAGCAAGCTACAGCCTGCCAAGGTGCCCCTGGGGCAGGTGCCAGCTGGGAGAGAAGGGACAAAGCTTTTGGAGGGACAGAGGGTGTCTTGGGGCACAGAGGGAACAGGAAAGGGGGAGCAGAGGGCAATGATGGAGAGCTCAAGGCAGGGCAGTGCCAGGTGGAAGGGGAGGAGATCCCCAGGGCAGAGCAGGGATGTGGCAGCACAGCTGGGAAGGGCAGTGGATGGCCCAGCACAGCCAGGTGGGGATGGGCCAGGGCTGCTGAGGGACCTGCCCGGCTCTGAGCTCTGCTCAGCTCCTGATGTCCCCATTCCAGGCTGTGCCTTGCTCCTTCAGCCCTGCCCTGAGTGCAGGAGCAGCACGGGGAGCAGGGAGCAGTCCAACAGCCTGCCCAGAACACTGCTGGAGTCTCCTTCCCTGGGAGACTCCAAACCCACCTGGCCACATCCCTGAGTGCTCCAGGGTCCCTTCCAACCTCATCCACCCTGTGAGGGACACAGGGGACATTCCCCACCTGCAATCCTCTCTGCCCTGCCCTTTGCTGACCCAGGAGAGCCAGGGGTCGCTCCCTCATCCACAAGGATCTCATCCATCACTGGGATGTCCCCACCTCCACCATCCCAGGGACACCAGAGCTGCTGGCCTGGCACTGCCAGCTTCCCTCCACCCGAGAGCGTGTCCTGCAGGAACTTGGGGCAGAACCCCATCCCAAACCCTCGTGGCTTCCCCCTTACCCACCACCATTCCACAGCCAGTCCTCCACAACCCACCAGGGAGCTTGTCCCATGCAGGGGGTGACACAGGTGACCTCCGTGTGCCATCATCCAGGGGACAGCGGTGCCATCGCTGCCCTGGCTGTCACCTCCTTGTCCCCATGTCCCCGTTGAGTTCAGCTGCAGATGGAGCCTCTGGCAGCCCGGAGCTCCCAAGCAGTGCTGCTCCCAGGCTGGGTGTGTCTCTGGAGGTGCTGGAAGGGTGAAGATTTCCACCTCGGGCTCTCAGGAGCTGCCCACCCAGCGATGGCAGCGAGCCTGGCATCGGGAGCCTCGGTGGGGCTGTCCCCAGGGTGTCCCCAGGGTGTCCCCAGGGCGTGGCACAGCTGGACAAAGCCCTGGCCTTTGTGTGACTTGTTCTGGTGACTCTGCCAGCCCTGTGGGTGGAGCTGGTGCCCCTGCAGTGCCAGCCGTGCCCACAGTCGGTGAGGTGTCCCTGCTGCCACCAGAGTCCATGCAGGCTGGGGACTCTGACAAGGCACTGCCACCACGAAGTCTCCCAATCCGTGCAGAAATCTCCAAATTCCCTGGGATCCAGCACAGCAAAGCCAGCACCAGGGGCCAGGGCAGCCTCAGCTTCTGCCAAAGCCCCTGCAGAGGGACCCGTGCCCCTCCTGCCAGGATGGAGCAGTGTCCTGGTGCTGTCCCCGTGCCCAGCCCTGTGCCAGGGTGGTATCCCCATGCCCAGCCCTGTGCCAGGCAATGTGGGGAGGGCTGGGAGCTGGGCAAAAACCTTGTGGGGGGTCAGCACGGTGCCCAGTGCCAGCCTGGATGTCCATCAGTCCGAGCACAAATCCCGCCTCCGCTCCATAAATAAATAGGTTAAATAAATAAAGTGACAGATCCGGATCAGGGGGGCGGAGAAAGGGGAGAGGGGAGGGGAGAGGGAGGGGGGGGAGGGGAGAGGGAGGGAGGGGAGCGGACGGTGCCCAGTGCCAGCCTGGATGTCCATCAGTCCGAGCACAAATCCCGCCTCCGCTCCATAAATAAATAGGTTAAATAAATAAAGTGACAGATCCGGATCAGGGGGGCGGAGAAAGGGGAGAGGGGAGAGGGAGGGAGGGGAGGGGAGAGGGAGGGAGGGGAGCAGAGAGGGAGGGAGGGGCAGCCGCCCTGGCCCGGGGCCGTTCGTGTCTTGCACAAACACACACAAAGTAGCTGCGGACAAGGACGAGGGGGCGGCCGGGCCGGGCTCCCCTCGGCGCTCGGGGGCTCAGTCCGGGACGAGGCGTCACTCCTGGGCCGGCAGAGGGGCGGCACACGGGGAGCTGGAGGCCAGGGACACGTGGGTGGTGGAGGACGGCAGCGACCGCGGCGGCGTCTGGCACCTGGGGACACACGGACACTCTGCGGCTGCTGCCCGGCCCTGCCTTCCCACCCTCCCCAAAATCCAGCCCTCCTCCTGGCTGTCTGCACCAAAGGGCAGCCCTTGCTGGGTGGGAGGAATGTCATGGAATCATGGAAAGGTTTGGGCTGGGGGATCTTACAATTCATCCAGTGCCACCCCTGCCATGGCAGGGACACTGCCACTTTCCAGCCCTGCAGCAGCCCCAGGGCTCCTCTGGGCTCTCTGCAGGTCCCTCCTGCACCGAGCTGCACACGATGCTGTTCCCCAGCACAGCCTCAGCAGCGTTTCAATCTGAGCACAGCCAGCAGCTCACGGCAGGCTCAGCCCCCCTGTGCCCCCCAGAAGGTCCTGGCCGTGTCCCCACGCCGCTGTCACTCACCAGGAGCGGGACTTGCGCACGCGGGAGGCCGCCGGCCGCTCCAGGAGGCTGTCCAGGTGCATCAGCCTCTCCAGGTGCAGCGCGCGCGGGTCCTGCTCCGCCGGGTCCCTGCTGCGCTCAAACTCAAAGATGGCCGGGGGGGACAGGTCCAGCTCCAGGAACATGATGTTCTCAGCCTGCCCAGGGCATGGGGACAGCCAGGGAGTCACCGCGGGGAGAACACGGCTCCAGGACTGGAGCTGGGAGGTTAAAGCTCCAGGGAGCTTGAGTTGGTGTATCCCAGATCCTCGTGAGCTTGATTACTCCATCTTCTCTCCCAGTGTTAGCCTTCCCTCCACCCATCCACTCACCATCTGCCTTCACCCATCCATCTCTAGCTCTCCTTTCACCTCCATCCATACACCCACCCATTCACACATTCATACACCTCCATCCCCACATCCATCCATGGATCCATCCATGCACACATTCATCCATCCATCCATCCATCCATCCATCCATCCATCCATCATCCATCCATCCATCCATCCATCCATCCCTCCATCCCCACCCACCCCATGTACCCAACCCCTCCCCGGCCCCCGCGGGTGTCCCGTGCCGTACCCGGAAGCGTGGGTGGGATCTCCTGGCCATGGCCACCCTGGCGTACTGGCTGATGGGCCTCTTGTATCCCACGGCCGAGGTCGGGCGCCTCTTCATCTGGGAGCTGCTCCTGGAGCACACGGAGCAGGGATGTAAACCGACAGTGCTGCACCCCAGGGAGCTGCACCGGCGAGGAGGGGCTGGCCGGGGAGGGGATTCCCACCCCTGGGCACCCACAAGGGTCCCCCCGCCCTGGGGCACTGGTGTGTGTGGGCAGGGACAGGGACTGTGCCCTGGGGACAGGGACACAGGGACATACCCTCCGGTGGGAACCAGCGGCTGGAATTTCCACTGGTCCTCGTCGCCGTCGAAGTACAGGCGGTTCATGATCTTGTTCTTCTCCTCGGGAGGGATGAAGTTCTCGATGATCAAATACCTGAGGGAAGGAGCAGGAGGGGAGGGGAAGGGGTTAATGAGACAGGAGACAGAAAACAGGCAGAAAGGCAGAGGAAAGGCAGGAAGAGAAGGAGACACGGCAGGGAGGAGAAACATCCGGAGGATGACAACGTGATGGAAGGGGAGAGGTTGGAGCAATAGATGCAGAAAGGGAGAGGCAGGAGAGGATGGGAATCAGAGAGGAGCCCGGGAGCTCTGGGGCTCCAGGACCCTTCCCTCCTCTCCTCCCATCTCTGCTCTCCTGCTGCCCAGCCTGAAAATCAGGGAAAGCTCAATGATGCCAAGTAGACCCCAGAAGGAATCTTTTCTCCCGTGTTTTTTGGGCAAGGGGAGCAGCTGTCAAAAACCGTTTTGAGGCAGTGAGCTGTGGCTTCCAGTCAGAACCACGCCGGGGGAGAGAAGGGGCGAAGCTGGCGATGGAATTCTGTTTGTAGTGAAACTGTTTCACCCTGCAGTGCGTGTAAATAGCTGGGGGGTTACAGACGCTGAAAGAGAGGAGTGTTTGAAGTGAGAACAAACCCCCGGGGGCGGTGGAGCAGCAGCTGCAGCTGCGGGAGGCTCCCGGAGGGAAAACTCTGCCAGGGAGCTGGAGCTGCAGGGAGCTGGGGTCACCCCGAGTCCCCAGAGCTGCTGTCCCTCCAAGGATGACAGAGCAGATCACCAGGTGCCCTCGGGGGTCACCTGCTCCCAGCCACCCCCAGGGTTTCTGCTGGAATTTTCTGGTTTTTCCTCTTTCCTGGCAGTTCTTGGACACCCCTTATGCTGCTCACCCAGGGCACAGCTCCTGGCTTGTGCCACCACTGACAGCCAGGCAGGGCTCGCTGTCCCTGTCTCTGGGTGAGGTCAATCCCTCCAGTTCTGCACCCACTCTGAGCCCCTGAGCCCCCTAGCCCTGCTCTGAGCCCCCCAGCCCTGCTGAGCCCCCCAACCCTGCTCTGAGCCCCCCAGTCCTGCTCTGAGCCCCCAACCCTGCTCTGAGACCCCAACCCTGCTCTGAGCCCCCCAGCCCTGCTCTGAGCTCCTGAGCCCTGCTCTAACACCCCAACTCTGCTCCGAGCACCCCAGCCCTGCTCTCTCTGAGTCCCCCAACCCTGCTCTAACACCCCAGTCCTGCTCTGAGGCCCCCATCCCTGCTCTGTGCCCTCCAACCCTGCTCTGAGCCCCCCAACCCTGCTCTCAACCCCTCAGCCCTGTTCTGTGCCCCCCAACCCTGCTCTAACACCCCAACCCTGCTCTGAGCCCCCCAACCCTGCTCTGAGCTCCCAGCCCTGCTCTGAGCCCCCCCCAGCCCTGCTCTGCACACCCAGCTCTTCAAGCCAAGACCCCCAAGCCCCTCACCAGCACCTACTTGAGCTTCAGCTCCCGGGTCTGCTCGTTCTGGGCCTCCTCCAGGTCCTGGCGCACGCGGATGTACTCGTCGTGCTGGTCCTGGATCTCAGCCTTCACAGCCTGCAGCTTGGCGTACAGCTGGCAGGGGACAGCAGCACCTCAGGGACCTCCTCATCCCTGTCCCTGTCCCCGTCCCCACCTGCCTGCCCTGCTCTCACCTTCTTGAGCTTCTTGGTTTTGATCTCCACCTCCTGCTGCAGGGACGTGTAGGTCTCGCGCAGCTCCATGGTCTCCTCGTCCCTCAGCAGCATCTCCTGCTGCATCTCGCGTTCCCGGCGTTTCTGGGGGGGCAGGGACACGGCTGGGACCGGGATGGGGATGGGGAGGGACCCCAGGACAGCCCTGTCACCCCCCGGTACCTGCTCAGCGATCTCCTGCCGCCTCAACTCCAGCATCTTCTGCTGCTCGTTAGTGTGGTCCACGATGGTCCTGCCCCCGATCAGCAGCTTGCTCTCCATGGCCTGGAGGGGACAGGGGCTCAGGGCAGGGGACAGGGCTGGCACCCCCTCCCCTGCTGGGGGCTTTGCCCCTTGCCACCCTCACTGGGTGGTGATCCCCATCCCTGATCCCTGTCCCCATCCCTGCTCCCTGTCCCCATCCCTGATCCCTGTCCCTATCTCTGCTCCCTGTCCCCATCCCTTCTCCCTGTCCCCATCCCTTCTCCCTGTCCCCAGCCCTGCTCCCCGTCCCATCCCTGCTCCCTGTCCCATCCCTGCTCCCTGTCCCCACCCCTTCCCCTTGTCCCCATCCCTGATCCCTGTCCCC